CTTTCACAGAAACTTAAAGAAAAACATCTCGGCAAAGCGACGGAACCACGGAACAGCAGCTAATTAGGACCCTGAGATTCTACACTTGAGCCGTGAAGTAGAAACAGACTCGAAACAAACAACAGCAATCATGGATACCTTACAGCAAAGGTGAGTAAAGTATTGTGGTAAAGGCCACTTATACAAGCCACCTCTATTTAGTATATATACACGATTCAGGTGATCGCTATAAGATATTCACATTCTCTGACTACATTCCCTTTAAAGCGACCATTTTCAGCCTCCAAGCAACGTCTTCCACGAGAGCGTTACGACTGTTAGCTCGCAGGTCTTGATTCTTCTCATAATAGCCTGACCTTTAAATAAAATGACTATTTATTTGGCGGGTTTTCCCGCGAGTGTCAATACGAGACCATCGAAGTCTCACGACACGATCGTGACGGAAGCTTCCTTACAGAGTGGGGTTACTCGCCAGCTCGTGGCTAACACCTTCGTCTTTCGCATATGACGCTAGCATTTTTCAAACGCAACTCTTTGGAATAATGGTTTGGAAAAAAAAAAATACCCCAAAACCCCTCGATATAACGAACCCCTACATAACGAAGTCCACGGTATAACGAATGATTTTCTTTACTCCAGTAACAGCAAAATCTATGAAAAACAACCTCGATATAAAGAAACCTCGTCACAGCGAACAAATTTTGTCGGTCCATTGGCGGTTCGTTATATCGAGGTTCCACCGTACAAAGCACACACGCGAAACATTACATGACCACCAAGCACACCTTTCCATAATTTGTATGTAGATTGCGTAACAGGTGTTGAGAGGTGCGGAGGGCGGAGGAAGCCACGCGCGCGTCCACGTCCCACCAATTTTTTTGCGCGCGTTGCTTCTCAAGCGCCTCTGGCTAAGGCTAATCAACGCGTTTAGGTGCTGGGTTTGATTGTAGTGTACTCTCTTATTGGTCGAGAAAGTGGCGAGTCAATCACAAAGCGAACTGAACAATCTAAAATCAAAGAACATCTCGGCACTCCCCTGCAAAGAGCTCTTTAGGCACTAAATTGCTCTTGTGACTTTCTAAATGCTATAAGGTCAGGTATATTCTGACCTCTTTTGATATCTTAAAAGAGAGACGAGAGATATGATTTTGAGTGTCAGGGACGAAGTTAATTATGTAACGTGCCATCACTGACTTGACGATGATTTTCTAAAGTCTGTATGGCGAATCAAATTCCGAAAGTTCGCCACATGTAGGGGAGACGGATTCCAGAGTTGGGGAAATTTTTTCCGGAATCCTGGGCTTTGGATTCCGGAATACAGCTCAAGGAATCCGGAATCCCACTGAAGAATGGAATCCAGAATCCAAGACTCTTTTGGATTCCCTCACTTGAGTCAAGAAAATGTCGGACCACCGTACCAATCATTTTTTTCTATCACCAGCCGCTGCTTGGAAAATGCGCCCGCGCTCCTCCGTCCGCGATCAATTGTACAGTTTTTAGACTCGTTTCCTTTACTTTATGGCACTTTTATCTCTTTCCATCATCAAAAGGAAAAAACATGAGTATTTTAAATTGAGGTTTAAAAGCCACCTCCAGTTGTTGCTTCACTTTACAGTTGTGCTTTAGACTGCGTAGGCAATGAGTTTAACAGTTTAACGATTTAAAATTTTGTCTTACGCGCTTAGTATTTTCCTTAACGTAGTTCCCTTCGTTTCAAATAAATTTCATGACAGAAAAAAAAATACAGACGACTAGCTCCTAGAAATTCTCCTTATTCATTTATCCATAGAAAGTTATGAAAAAAATAATTCATGCACACGAATTGATCGGCTTGTTGTTTTAACTATTAAGCTATTTGGCCACGGTGGAAGTCAAACTCCCTCGAACCGGAGGTACATTAAAAAGCCGTTCGTAGCTCTTTGTCTTCGAAAGAAGAATGTTTATACATTAAACGCTTGTGCGTGAAAATTAACACGAATAAAATTGATGTTTTTCTCCTCGCGGTAATAATTTCTGAGGTATAAATTACGCATTAATTTGGTACGCGCGTTATAATGCACGGTTAAAACATTCTTTCATTTAGGCACGCTTGTAATAGGCCTGAAAAATACCGCTCGGAATTAGGAATTATGAATGATTTACAGGGCTTAGAAGAGATTATTTACATTTGCTCATATCCTAATACGAAACGTGGGTTGGAGTTTGAAAGAAATATACTTAATATGCAAAGAAAACATCCTCATTATAAGGAGCAGGTGTAATCTAGGAGAGTGTGAGGTTTATTTGACATCCAAATTCAAGACTTTCAAACTATAATTGACTTTCACAAAACAAAGCAGGCAGATTGACTTCGTCGGATTAAGCTTCACTGGGTTCAGTACCGTGAATTCAACTAGGAATTTTTCAGTAAGTAAGTCTTCTTACTCATTCTCTGTTCTCAAGCTTTAGTTTGCTTTCAATTTTCTGAACGATGCACATTTCTTTGCACACACACTTACGCCGGAATGAGCTAAATATAACCTTTAAAATTTCAATCTTTTCGACAATCAGTTTGCTTGCATGAATTCAGTTTAGTCTACCTTCGCCTCAAATCTCGTTTCGACCGCAGAAGATACATTTGTGTGAATAATTCCTGTTTTATACAAAATCGGAATCATTCCATTGAGTTTACCCTGAACAATCAAGGAAGAATCTCAAATCGAAGGACTCTGAATTCAATTCTGTATGTAGCTGGACGACATTTACCCTCAGGTCGAAAAACCAGACCCTTCACTTTAAATTCGCCGTTCACCTTTCCATCCGTGATTCATTCGTGTTTGCGCCTCATTAAGTGAAATGTTTCAACACTAAGATTTTCCGCACCAATTTTCATCCACTCCATTTTTTTTTCAATAATTGCACTCAAAGATATCGTAACGAAGTACAACCTGAAAACGGCATATCTCAACCATCTTCACACTGACACTAACACACAGTACCTGACGACTACTGTTTACCTTTAAACGATTAAAGAGATTGTATACAGTAAAGATTTTCAAGTACAAGGTTTAATGAACTTCAAATTCCGAATAATTTAGTTTCGGCTAGCCAGAAGGAAAGTGTGCCTTAAAGGGAAAATGAAACTTGACAAGTTGAAATATTGCGTGGGAAGAAAATATTGAAACTGTGTTCAGGTTTTGAACCCCAGGTTTTTCAAGCGAGAGTTTTCAAGGTTATGAAAAATAAGATCCAACGACTTATTCGAGCAAAATCAATTTTGATTTGAGTTTATTATCATTTTCAGTCTTCCACATTCAGAAAGGATAAAAGTCAGTTACTCATCGAGAGCATTCATATCCCGGAATGCTTAGCTTACTAAAATTTTTTGCCCACAACAATAAGTATGCATATGTCGAATTTAATACACTTGAAAATCAATATACAGTACAAAATTACCGTTACTATGCGACAAATCAGCATCGTCTAGTTGCGCAACCTGAGGAAAATGAGCTAATTAATACATTTTTTTTCTCTTTCGTAACTGCGGCACGTATGAGTTTTGTTCTAATTTTTCGGCGAAGGCCACCAAGGGAATGAAAAGTAATCATTGACATCCTCCCAAAATCACAATACTTTGTAATTCATGTATGCATGGTGTTCCACAGCTATAAAGAAAAAATTTTATACAAGTCATGTTCTGTGTTTTCGAAGGCTGTGTCCACACTCATGATACCGGATAGCTTTTGTGCCGGCATGAAAACCAGATACGGCTTCTGTTCGCACATAAGAACGGTGATTTCAGCGCGATTTCTGTAACGAAGCGAAGCTGCGCTGTGCCGATCTCTAACGTGGAAAGTCACATATTGGATAGGTGTTCATACTATGCCGGAAAGCTTTTGTGCCGGCATGAAAGCGAGATACGGCTTCTGTTCACATATAAGAAAGGTGATTTCGGCGCAATTTTTATAACGAAGCGAAGCTACGACGCACTGATCTCTAAAGCTGAGAGTCACATAACGGATATAGTTTTTGATAGCTTTTGGTGTCGGCACAAAACGTTATCCGCTATTGTGTTAATATAGCCTGCGACTTTTTTCTCTAATTAGTTGAAACAGAAATGAAGATTCCGCTGCTTAAAGGGGAGTAAAGTTGGACACCATACAAATTTTGGACCCAAAAAATAACAAAGGGTGCCAAGTTCGGGAACCAAAAAATTAACAAGCTTGTCTACGAACATATTGAATCCTGTATTAATCTTTCGTTGTGACAAGAAAAAATGAAGTTTAAGATAGACAATAAAGAGGAAAGCTAATCCTCTTTAATCGCAGTGAAAATATTATCTTGTATCTTGTAAGTCAATCATTTATTAACTCGTCTTTCTAATTTAAATCACTAAATTAAGCGGCTAAGATAAGCTAAAATTAGCAGCTAGTTGAATAAATTATTCACGAGACTATAGAACAACAGTAACAACACAACACAGGTCGGGCAAATCTCAAGAGACACTTGGTTCGATTTCTTAGAGGCTTTTGACCTTTCCCTGCGGCGTTGTCGCAGTATTTTTCTGCGATACTGGTATCGGCCTTGCGGCAACAACACAGGTACCCCACGCTCACAAGTGAGCTTGAAATAACGATCGTTAAAATCCCCATACAAACCCTTACAATGTTTCTGTTATGCAACAGCGCTTCTCACTCGTGAGCATGGGGTACCTGCGCCAAGAAAGGAAAAAAACGTGCAAATAATATTTTTCCCAGGGCCTCTCCTAATCTGTCCTTGAGAGTAACTTGGGAAAAAGTGTTGAATAAGAACATGGACTCACATTCGAAAGACCAACTCTCAAGCCCAAAACTGAAAATCGAACTGAAATTCGTTATTCAATTTGTACTTCATTCAAGTTAAACTCGAAATCTGTTGTTCTAGGTTCCTTTACTAAAAGTTCCCTTAGTAAAACGTAATGCTCTGACAAAACATTTTTTTTCTCTCACCTTATTCCAGGGTTCATAGACTGTCAGTTGCCCATGGCTGTGCCAACAGGACGAGAAATGACCTGGCTCCAGACAGGATGGGAACAAAATCAGGGCCGTTCTAGTCACATAAGGCACTATCGTCCGCCAGCACCAAGCGAAAAAGGAGCCAGCAGAAATTCCCTTCTGCAATGCAACAAAATGTCCGTCAAAATCAGACAAATTGACGACAAAGCTCAGCAAATACGTTTTAAATACGGAAAGAACAATCTTGAACGGAATTTTAAGAAAGGAGTGGACCTAACTCCGTTTGTTACTAAAGTGCAGATTAGAAAGATGAGAGAACGAGACGGGATCAAACCAGTAAGAGCTACATCGGAGAGTGGAAGAGTTCGTTTTGCTACGGAAAGGGACAAAAACCAATTGGACGAAGATACTGCCGATAAAAACACTCTTTCAAGTCACGCTGGAATCGAAAATGATACCGCAACCGATGAAGAAAATACAAAAGATGAAGGCACTTTTGCTGAGGTATATTATCGGCAAGTTCACCTTTGTTTGTGTCTTTTTTGATTAATAGAAATAGGCGGACTCTATAGGCTTTTTCTAGCGCTTCTGCAGGTTTTTGTTATTAAAACTCTATCCCGCAGATTCCGAAATCCTGTCGAGGCATCCCGCGGGAAAATTCCTACGGCAAGACCCACGGCAGCCTTCGCTAAGCCCACAAAAGGCGAAATAGCTTTAAGCATTAAAGGACCGATATTGCTTGCGCCCGTATCTAAAACTGCCATAGCAACGGCGCAGGCAAGCGACAGACTGAGTCGACTGGAGGATACGAGATCGCTGCCCGAATTTGCGGGCTCAAGAAATGGCCGAGCCCGCCCTCGACCTATTTCTTCGGTCAGCGACAGTGTTATCATAACCGGAAGGAACATACACGCGCCTGGGAGATGGTTAGGAAGTGAGCATGCGCCGAATAGCTCGCTCAACCAGAATAACCGCCTATGCCATTCTTGTAATGAACAACGCAATGCACGTTTTGACTCAAGCATAGCCAAGCAGAGGGCGAAAAGTGCCCTGTGCGGGAGGATAAATGAACGAAGAAAAAGCGAGGGTTGTGCTCCTCACATGTTTCACCAAAGCCCAGTAAAAGCGCACGGTAAAACTGTAGGAAATGGTGCGCTGAGCCCTAAGCGACGCCAAAAGATGCGCAGTGGAATGATATCTCCGTTTGAACTGCAAGTTCACTTGGATCAGCTAAAATCTTGTGAATTTGGCTCCCCAGTTCCCCCGCCTTCACTGTCGAACTCAGACGATGAAGAGATCATCATGTCATAGTCAGAGTACTTCATTGCTGTAAATACAGAACTGAAAAAATACGCTCTAAAAATACTTCCTGACAATATGTGGTTCAGGTCTGGCCCTCTTCCTGTCACGTAACGATGCGCTATCGGTAGAGAGGGTCTAGGGACAATTGCCAGCGCATACCCAAGATAAACTCATGGTAGTAGACATCTTAGCCCTCGCCTTGTGCGTTTCACACAGCTGTCATAAAACAAAAAGGGTACGCAATGCCGATAAGCTAGGAAAGAAACCACCGCTGTCATGCGCAGAGTAATGAGTAGTAGAGCTTTTTGAGAAATCTGCGCGCTTGTCAAGCAGAAAAAAATGCACGCGTGGCATGCGTTTCAAGGGGGATCCTTTGAGACCCTAGAGTAACCAACATCCATTTTCTTCATACGTTATAAGTATATAATCAAGAGAAAAAGTTATGGTCACCAAAGGGGAAAATGCGTTAATCCTTTATCAAATTCTCTCAACTAATTCTTCAAGGAAATGTAAGGTGATCAGTCAGGAGAATTGGTATGTGGACATTGCAGGCAGGCTAGAAGAAAACAACTAGGAAAACCGCGGTACACATGGGTATTCAAAGAGTCAACTTCAAACTGAGATGAAGTCGCGTAAGCAAGTAAAAGATTTACAAATAAACTTAAAAAGTATAAGGCTCGTTTTAAACGTCGTGCTACTGCCGTGCCGAACTCAATTGATCGAATTAAATTCGACTTTAGGCACGGCAGTAGCGCGACGTTTGAAACCAAGTCGTGCTACAGCCGTGTAGCACGCAGTAGCACGGCAAGGCTTGCAGTGCTACACGGCAGTAGCTCGACTTGGTTTCAAACGTCGTGCTACCGCCGGCCGAACTCAATTCATAAATTATAAATACATTAGAATATATTTAAAAGTTTGCAAAACCGTTTCTTTATTTTTGTGTTTTGTTTTCGACAACTGCTGTTCTATTCGACTGAATTAAATTCGACGTCTGAAACCAAGTCGTGCTAGTGTCGTGCTGCAGTCGAGCTATAGTCGAGCCAGCTTAGGACGGCAGTAGCACGACGTTTGAAACAGGCCTAAGACTCGATTTTTTGGGAAAAATAAGAATGTTTGCATGTTTGCATGTTTGATGGGGGTATGAGGAACTGGAAAGCAACGCGCAAGCTCTTTTTCTCCCCTCCTTTTCAAACATCTACCACGCAGGCAGAAATGAACATGTTAAGGTTAACTTGGAAGACTATGAAATTTGTCTGGTTTGGAACATAAAGTGTCACGTGGAAGCTTACTTTTGTTTACTATAGTAACCTTCAACGCTTCAAACGCCCATTTATGTCAAAATAGTCCATTTAAATTGTTTTAAAATAACGTGCCAAGTCTCTTAAGTCATATTTGCGCAAATACCGTATTGAACCACTACGGATTATTGTCATGAAACCATCCAATTAGAAAAGATTATCATTCTTTCTTCTTACTCCAGCGCCGTCGCGACTAACCTGACTTAACGGAGAGATTCTGGAACAAACGATCAATTTTTCACGTGATCTCAACACTTCTCTCTCTCTTTCTTTCTTTCTTTCACCGACTTCAGCACGTCTACCGAGTCGGTCTCAGTTCACACCAAAACAGCTGAAACAGCAGCCATAATGAACTAAAGGTTTTTAGCCAGTTACACTTAATTAAAATAAAACAATACAGTCAAGAGGAGAGTGTTTTCTTATCCTGTGATCGGGGAGACGAAATGTCTGAAACAGTTTTACTTCAAGCTATTCCAACCCTTCAAAGCTCGTGAAAATTAAAAAGAGTATGGCAGCTTTTAAAAACAGCTTCAATAAGCTATGGCGAGTTGCAACATTTACGGCACAAGCTAAAATGTTCCCTTCATTGTCCGCTATGGATTTTTAAAACCAAATTTGAGAGCGTTTTGAAGGAAGAATCACTTAGATCTGTCGATAATTTATTCCAAGACCACCGAAGCAAGGTTTAATCAAAATTAGTTTTTTGGATAAAAAATAAAATGAAAAAAAGAGAAGAAAAACGGCTAACTAAATTTTTGTTTTTAGCCTACAAATTCGTGACGGTGTCTGATAGCCCGAGGCTAGTGAATTTTACTAGTAGGCTGGTGAATTCTGTTCTTAAATTGCCGAACGGGCGAGTAAAGTTTCTTGGGGAATTCAGATTACAGAAGAACTTTAATCAATTTCTAAGTGTCAAGGAGTGGTACACTCTAAAAGCGACAATTAATTAACATTTTTAATGGTTTAAAAAACCGTTTCCAAGACAGTTTTTCCTTAACAAGAAGCGTCTCTATGACAAAACATTTTATCTTTTTAGTTTAGAACCACGCTTTGTCGGATAAAACGAAGTATCGCTTAAAAATGGAACGTTAAAAATGCGCCTTGACGAGAAAATTTACTCTAACAATGGAAACCAGGGTGGTTTTGTGATTGATAGTGTGAAGTTGAAATGAAGTGAGCAAAATTATCAACGAACGAATCCATTGCGGTCGTGCATTTTTATGATAACGAGTGCAGAAAATAAATGTTTTATATAGTTTGGGTTATTTAAAGCCACTGATATGCTTAATATTTAAGGTTATGTTGATATGACCTCAATTCCATCCTTGGAGACCTATTCAGTCACGACATTTGGTTCTAAGCGAAAATCCTCAATTGTGGCAATTCAAAGGAAAATTGCGTGGAGAGCTTTCCACTGGTGATGTTTGTGGTTTTAACTTCAAAAACTTTAGAGGAAATCCTTTCATTTAACAATTTAAATGAAGCTTATACCCAAGGTGATTGGCTTAAAGATTTACCAAACAAATATTGCCAGCTATTTTATTACGCCGGAGTTATTTTGGCTATGTGAGATTTCACCGTCTCCATAACCGTATATAAGTCATCGTGATAAGATTGCTACAAATGTTACGCCGCTGAATAAGTTAATTACTTAGAAGATTAACATTTCGCAGTATGACAACAAAAATATTTGTGTCTCACTGTGAGGGCAAGTACACGAGAGAAAGCAATAATATTCAATATGCAGCGTAATCATTTGGCGAAAACAAGCACCGCAAATCCGAGCTGAGGTAAGTAAAGTAGACACAGCTTTGCATTCCACACCAGTTCAAATTTTAGTCATTTAAATCGTAACTCTTTCGTTTTAACAATGAGCTGACTTGAAAGTGACTACTAACAAGTTATGTTACTTCATAAAAGTCCGACATTTTATTTCTTCAGCCCGAGCAATAACATGTCACTCGACGGTTTTTGTTTCACTTTTCACACAACAGAATACTCAGGGGGAATATAAATCTTACATTTGGAAGGTCATTCGTTAACCATTTTCTAGATAATACACTGATTTCCCAAAAAAATTGACCACAACAGACTATACTTGAACCACCGAACTAGGCTTAACGTATTTGCACTTTAATTTACAAATTTACATAACACCTGTATAGTTATTTAGTTAACAACAAGTTATAAGTTCACAGTGGTATAGATGGTCATATAACACTAAACTAAGATTTCATCACAACAACAGTTTGTTTAGTTTTACAACAAACGCGAGCAAAACAAACGCTAATTTTGTACTTCGTCGTATTTAAGCCGTCTAGGTCCTAATGCGTTTATTTCAAATACGTTCAACTGATATGTTTGTTGGGTATTATGGGCGGAACAGAAGCAGCACTGAAAAAAAAACAGTGAAGAAAAAGAAGTTGCTATAGAGAGCGGGAGCAGCGTTTTCAACGGGGTTGGCAAAGTTACAAAATGTTAGCGTATTTTGTACTACAGGCAGATAAAAACTCGATAATTAGTAAAGTTTTCATTTTTTTACTTGATGCTAACAAGAATGTTTTACGTATCTATCGCAGCTGGCTCACGAAAGTCAAGGAAACCGTTGAAGTTAAATTTAAGAAAACTCTAAAAGGAACACACTGAGAATTACATCAACAACTCGAAGATAGGAAAATCTCATAAACAACTTTAGGCGTACAGGTAGCAGTTGAGGGGGAAGGGTGGTTGCGATATAGATAAATATGATTATGGCATATTTTGAACGTAAGGGTTGCGTACAGCGAAACCTCTATTTAAACTGTGTATCATTATAAGAAGGTTTCGAAAAAATATCATATGGTTCGGTGTCAAGTGCTTGTAATCAGAGGAGACATTGGCCAGAGTGCTTCGGGCGTGTAAATAGAACATTTTGTTTTACTGGCGCGAGTTACAGGGTGCAGTTGCTCAAAGGCCGATTAGTGCTTAACCCGGGATTCATTTTCTTTCTTCAAAAACAATTCTTCGGATAATTTTCTCTGTTATTTTTAAGAGCATCCAATCATCAACTTGTTGACAAAATGAATTACATTGAATTTACTGTTTTAAAAGCTTTCACATCTGAATTCAAACTTCTCACTAACCCTGTCAAAGCCTTTAATGGAATGTGTGTGCGGCTCACGTCAATAACTTTTTCAATAATTTGATCGAGCATGTTGATTTAAGTGACTTGAGAGTGGCGCTACTGTGGGCTGGTTTATAAGTTTTTCCTAATAAATAACCTAGAGTTAAAGTGTTTGTTTGTCCGGTGCCTAAAATATTACAAGTCATGATCAAATGGCGCCACCAAGCTTCACACCTCGGTAGATTTACTTTGTGGCACAACCGCTGCCGAGCTACACAACTCGGTAGATTTACTTTGTGACACAACGGTCGTCGAGCTACACAACTTGGCAAATTTACTTTGTGGCACAAAGGACTGCCAAACTAAACCCCGTTTGATGCATGCACCAGGAGGCGCAGACATTTTCCAAAGACAGTGATGAACCATGCTGAAAAATATGAAGGCTTAATCCAAAGTAAAATTTAACAGCAAACTTCTGAAAGATGAACGCTTTGGACGATTCAGCAAGCACAGATTGATGTACGCTTTACGAAGATTCAGCAAACTTTTTAAAAGATAAACGCTTTACGAAGACAGAATATCAGACCTCGGCAAACCTTTGAAAGATGAACGCCACAGACACAAGAATCACCACATAAGTTAGCGTAAGGCACAAACTACCTCATATGTGAACCAACGGCTGTTGGTCACGCGATGAACGAGGCTAATATATCACGGTACGCTTTTCGAGCAACACTGGACCGAATACCCGAAACCGACGGAGAAAAACTTTTGAACACTCATGGAAAGAGAAAGTCCAATAGCGGGGAAAGAACACAACAAAAATCTGGCTTAACAGAGAACAACGCAGAAGCAGATATGAAAGCCAATGAAAAATCATTTGAACAAAAGGAAAGAGTTTCCTCGGTGGCAGAAAACGATACCCACGAGGTTAAAAAGTTGGCGAAATTGAGTCCTGTTATAAGTGGTAACAAAAACAAAGGGACTAATTTGAGAAGCATTGACCTTTATGCCCAGCAAAAAAGCCAATTTGAGCTCAAAGGTGCTCCAACTAGAGTAGCGTTTTCGTACAAAATGATCCCAAACGATCTTGTTAGCAGAGAGCCACCTGATAAACTGCAACACCTAAGCGCTGAAGATGTTGTTTTTCCACGAATTGTAATGTACCAGTGGGAAGTCCACGAGAAACCCAAACTTATCAAACCTATCAGGCCGCGGAAATCGCTTAAAAAGCTTCACAGGATACCCACAGGAAACACAGAACAGGACTACCACCCACCTTGTTTAGAAGAAGAGGGAGAAGACAACTTAAATGACAACGTACTGAGACCAGATAGCTCTGCATTTAGATTTCCACAGGCTCCTCCACCAACTCCAAAATGCGAAAGTAGTAAGGAACTTTACCTGCTAAGGACCAAATCACCAGAACCAAATCGTTCAAAGCTTGGTTAGCCCCTGCCTAGTCCTTAAGCATTATCTTTTGCCAAGTATGAAAAAGGTTGACAGAGTTTCTCCGGGTGATGTCACACACCCCAGGTTTGACCGAGCCGTGAACCCCTAAAGATTACTGAGGCTGATTTGCCCTATTTCTGGGTTTACTGAAATGTCAGGAGAACAGCCGTTCACAACGGTTTTTTTAGAAACTAACTGCTATATAAGTGGTAAAAACCTTAGAATGCAGAGATCCACTCACTGGTAAATAAAACCAACTGGTTCCTCCTTGCCAGATCTCTAATGTAGAGATGCGCTAGAGCCAGACGTCACTTGAACTGGAAATTAAAACCAACCTAAATGCAAGGCTGGCAAAAGTACGGCAAAGGGTTGACTTATTTTGGGGCCAATATTTTGGGTAACAAACTTAGCCTTGCTCAGGGCCAGAGCTACACTTAAAGAAAATACCAAAATAGCTCCTGAAATTTGAAATTTACATAAGAGTTAATGAGAAACTATGGTAACTAGCCCTAGATTTGAACTTTATCCTCATTCAAAACAACTCAGACCCCGTCATTAGAGCTGGCCAGTGGAACCAGTAAATAAAATGCTTTGTTAAAGAGGTAACCACATACACTGTACTTTAAATAGAGTTACTTTAAGCTAAAAAAAATGATTTAAGGACTTTTTACAACCAGTGAAACCCTTAAGTGATAGATGGACTGACTGAAATGATGTACAATATTTAACACATATAAGTAAAAACAGAAGATTAGCTGTACTTAAATGCAAGTGAGATATAAGAGAAATGTTGCTCATTACCTCCCTCTTTCTGGATTCATTTTCATCCAAGGACTAAGTACATTAAGTACACATTTTAAAATTCTTTTAAAACCTACTTAGAGATATCTTTAATAATAAATAATAATAATAATAATATTTTATTTATATAAGTACCAGTGGCTACCTGGCAACCTAATTTTACCTATGGGCAACAATAAACTTCTGCACTTGACTCCTTACAATTTTTCTTTTTGCACAGCCTTGAGTACTATGTATATTAAACAGGGTTTCTATATTTCCTTAACTGTATCCTATAAATATCTCATCTCTGCATTGAAGCTTTCTTTCCCTTCTATTAACAATCTTAGCCCCGGAAAATTCATAGAATTTGCAGCACAATGTACCTCATCGTGTAAATTAGTTTTCTGAAAAGTTTTTTTTTGAAACACTCCGCAAATCTGCATTAAAAAATAGTACAACTAGGAATAATCGGAGCTTAGGAGAGTGCGTTCAATATGTTTGTTAGGCGTACAGGTAGCAGTTGAGGGGGAAGGGTGGTTGCGATATAGATAAATATGATTATGGCATATTTTGAACGTAAGGGTTGCGTACAGCGAAACCTCTATTTAAACTGTGTATCATTATAAGAAGGTTTCGAAAAAATATCGTATGGTTCGGTGTCAAGTGCTTGTAATCAGAGGAGACATTGGCCAGAGTGCTTCGGGCGTGTAAATAGAACATTTTGTTTTACTGGCGCGAGTTACAGGGCGCAGTTGCTCAAAGGCCGATTAGTGCTTAACCCGGGATTCATTTTCTTTCTTCAAAAACAATTCTTCGGATAATTTTCTCTGTTATTTTTAAGAGCATCCAATCATCAACTTGTTGACAAAATGAATTACATTGAATTTACTGTTTTAAAAGCTTTCACATCTGAATTCAAACTTCTCACTAACCCTGTCAAAGCCTTTAATGGAATGTGTGTGCGGCTCACGTCAATAACTTTTTCAATAATTTGATCGAGCGTGTCGATTCAAGTGACTTGAGAGTGGCGCTACTGTGGGCTGGTTTATAAGTTTTTCCTAATAAATAACCTAGAGTTAAAGTGTTTGTTTGTCCGGTGCCTAAAATATTACAAGTCATGATCAAATGGGGCCGCCAAACTTCACACCTCTGTAGATTTACTTTGTGGCACAACCGCTGCCGAGCTACACAACTCGGTAGATTTACTTTGTGACACAACGGTCGTCGAGCTACACAACTTGGCAAATTTACTTTGTGGCACAAAGGGCTGCCAAACTAAACCCGGTTTGATGCATGCACCAGGAGTCGCAGACATTTTCCAAAGACAGTGATGAACCATGCTGAAAAATATGAAGGCTTAATCTAAAGTAAAATTTAACAGCAAACTTCTGAAAGATGAACGCTTTGGACGATTCAACAAGCACAGATTGATGTACGCTTTACGAAGATTCAGCAAACTTTTTAAAAGATAAACGCTTTACGAAGACAGAATATCAGACCTCGGCAAACCTTTGAAAGATGAACGCCACAGACACAAGAATCACCACATAAGTTAGCGCGTCAAAGTGAGGCAACCCGTAAGCAAGCGCCTCAAAGCAAGGCAAATGTGTGTCGACGACAAAAATGCAATCTCAAAAAAACCTCCCTTATTCATTGCACAGGACACCCAATAATGCACAGAACACCCAACACAAATTAGGGGTTGTGTTCTCGTACCTTGAACGCAATCAATCATTCAAATTGTTTTTTCAGAGGTTTTGATTGGCCTGTGTGACTGGTGATTATATATTTCCTGACCTGCAGATTAACTGCTTTTTATATGGACAAAGGTCTGCTCATGAACTGTAGAGGAAAAAGTCATCTTTGCTGTGGAAGATTCTATGGCTGTGCGCAGTCAAATGTTCAGCCCAAATGTTTTTCTTATTCATGCGCAAACTATAGCTGAAGTGGTCAATTTTTTTTTTTTTTTTTGGAGGGGGCGGGGGGATTTCACTGCTTGAGTTTGTATCAAAACGACTTGTATCGAAACAAATTGGAATCAAAATGACTGGTTTGGTTTCACAGTCACTAAGTATTAAACTCTCTTCGGGAATTGTGGCAGCTCCAGATGTATACCCAAAGGAAATATATAAAAAACAAGCAAACTGGCTAAATGATAAAACAATGGTATTGAATTCAATTTGCGAACTATCATGGTTGTTCAGTGTCTCACCATAGTATTAAGTAAGTTAGTATGGTTTTACAGATCAGTCATTTGCGTCTGCGTTCGGCATCAACTTCTAGTATTTTTCAGGTGAGTATTAAAAACAGTAAAAATTAAAAAAAGCTTATAACGTTCAGGTTAATAGTTCATAATCGGAAGATCTTATTTTGTTTTACGAAGTTTCCAAAACCTACAACCCATCGTCTTCGGGATAAGTGCACAGACGAAATAAAACGAATTTACACCGTCTCATGATAAACAACTGAGCTGACGAATTGCGCTGAAAATCAACACAAGTAAGCTTACATCACTATATTATTTGAGTTTTCCCGCCCTTGTTTCTTGACGCTTTCTTAAATTCATTCACGTTTCAACAGTTAAATTCACCAACCAAAGAAAATCAGAAATAAACATTTTGCTTACCTTAAGATTTATGCAAAATATCTGAGAAGTAATCCTTTAATTCTCTCCCAAAAATCCTCCCAAAATGGTCAAAATCAGTTACGTGAGGATTTACCGCGCGCATTCACTGGAAAACACAAGAATAAGCAGGCGTTCTTTACGCTACGGAGGAAACCTGGAACGAACAAGACATTCCCAGCGTTCAAGTGGAGCGTAGAAAACCAAGATGGCGACCACTTTGGAGAACGCCAATCCCACCGTTTTTCAACAAAAACAAGAGCGGCTGGTACTTCCAGAAGAAGAGGATGAAGATGTTGTTGATAAGATCGACGAAAGAGAAGTATTTGATATCCTTTTTAAGCCACTGCTTGTGCAATTCGGCTAAATTATCTGCTTATATTGTTCAGGCTTTTTCTAACCTTAGATCAGGCTCTATTTCCGTTTCAGTTCGTTGATGTTGTTTTGCGCGACCACGTAAGAGAGAATGTATGGAAGCTGCTAAAATTGGGCCTGATCTCATTAGGCATTCTCAGGCTTAAAGAACGTCAACAGGGCTGTCAATCCTACAAGTCTTTAAATATTGAGAATTAATAGGGAAGGATGACGTCATATTGCACAGTATATGACGTCATTTGTGCAAAAAATAGTCGTTGACCTGATCGTCACGAATTTGCTGATGTTTCACATTATGGTGTACATTGCAATGGCATAAATTTAACTGCAGTTTATGAGGAAACATGCGATGTTAACAGTAAAATAGCTCAAACAGCGCAAAATATTTAAAAGTTTATTGTCGGAAAGTGGAGTCTACAACTGAATGGCAGACTTTGGTGAATATCCGGGAGATTTCATACTCTAATCTGGAGACTGGGAGAGTTGACAGCACTGTGTGAAATAAGGTACACATTTTAAATGCACTCTTCAATCTTTATGGGCCTTGGGGGGAGGGGGGGGAGTACTCCCTTTATATAAGCCATATAGGTATGTGCTGCCCCAAAGGGTAGCGTTTTTGCGCCGTTTTGGTCTGAAAATGGGTATAGACTTTGCCCAGTTTGGTCTGGAATCGGGTATGAACATTCCAAATAAGTAAGAAAAAAGACAAATACGCAGATTTGGAATAGATTTTAAGAAATGTCTTTTTGTTGCTGTTCTAATCTAAGTAGTGATGACATTTTTCTAAGAGGCCAGGGCAGTTGACTGGTACATAAGCATAAGTAAACTCTAGGGAGCAGGTTTTTCCTTGACTGGTTTACATCTCATTCGTGCCATCAATGACCCAGAACACCCTCTTACCCTTGAACAGTTAAACGTTGTTGAACAGTCGTTAGTGAAAGTGGATGATGACAATGATTATGTCAAAATACAGTTCACGCCTACAATACCACATTGCAGCATGGCAACACTCATTGGATTAGCCATTCGAGTACAGCTTCTCAGATCGCTGCCTGACAGGTTNCTGAAAATGGGTATAGACTTTGCCCAGTTTGGTCTGGAATCGGGTATGAACATTCCAAATAAGTAAGAAAAAAGACAAATACGCAGATTTGGAATAGATTTTAAGAAATGTCTTTTTGTTGCTGTTCTAATCTAAGTAGTGATGACATTTTTCTAAGAGGCCAGGGCAGTTGACTGGTACATAAGCATAAGTAAACTCTAGGGAGCAGGTTTTTCCTTGACTGGTTTACATCTCATTCGTGCCATCAATGACCCAGAACACCCTCTTACCCTTGAACAGTTAAACGTTGTTGAACAGTCGTTAGTGAAAGTGGATGATGACAATGATTATGTCAAAATACAGTTCACGCCTACAATACCACATTGCAGCATGGCAACACTCATTGGATTAGCCATTCGAGTACAGCTTCTCAGATCGCTGCCTGACAGGTTCAAGGTAAGTTAACTTGATGATAATTCACTTAAATCTTAATAATATTATTATAAGGCTCATTCTCCAATAATATGAACATAGGAAGCAAATTTGTATATCAGCAATACTAGCAGCAACATTTTTATCAGTAGCCTCTTAAAACTGCTGCTTTGTAGACTGGTGTCAGGGAGATGTTAACCCTTTGAGTGCCAATAGTGACCAACAGCAATTTTCTCCGAACAACATCCATACACTGTCAACAGATAAAGTTATGAGAATTAATAAAATGATCACTATAGAGAAAATTCCATGATCTTTTATCAAATTCTCTCAACTAATTCTTAAAGAAAATGTATGCAGATCAGTTTGGAGAATTTGTATGTGGATATTGGGGCTTAAAGGGTTAACAGCTTTTCTGATGAGAGTACAGTCAAATGCCATTAATACAGACACTGAGCAGGCCTGCCCACAAAAAGTGTTGGTATTTGAGTGTCTGTCACTATTAAGTAGGTTGAATCTAGAGAAAATTTGAGGGCTTTATTTGCCCAGAAAGAAAGTGGATCAATTAGGGTTTTGGGAAACTGCCCACCTACCCCTCCCCTAAGCCAACATTTCGCCCTAAGTGAGAATTAAGTGATGATGTTGAGGGGTAGGTGGGCAGTTTCCCAGAAACCTGAATTGACCCAAGAAAGTAAGCAAACTGTCGGTAATAATGAGTGTCCGTACAGTGAGGTTTGACTGTATGATGAGTCAGTCTTTATTATCTGTATTCTTGGGTATTATCACTTTTCTAACAGATTTTTGTTGTCAGTTATAAGTACTGGTAAAATTGCATCATCGGCTTTTGGGGCTAGTTGAAATGACGTCTGGGCTAGTAAATGCTAGCTTCAGCTTGCCTGAAAGGCAAGCTGTAAAAATAATCTTCTTTGCACCCTGAAAAGCGGCATTTTTTTTCTTTTCAATAGGTTGATGTGAGTATTACTCCAGGAACTCATGCATCAGAAGATGCAGGTATAAGTCTTTTTTAATTTTTCATACTAAAAACTTAATTCATGAAAAATATGACAAACTACCAATAAATATTACTCCTTTGTAATATGAAGTACATGCACAGGTGCTGATGTTGTTGTAGAACATCTTGATAATGGTTTTTGTGGTATAATTAGAAATCATAGAGCATTGATGATTTTTACCTCTCTCCCAGATTTTCAGCATGCAAAGAAAGTCATGTCTGATAGCCCGGGGCAAGTGGATTTTTCTATCAGTATAATGAATTCTTTTCTCAACTTGCCCAACAGGCAAGTGAAGATTTTTGGGGAATTCAAATCACAAACATAATCAATCCTTCTTATTAAAAATTCTTTTCTCGGGCTAGTACTTATTAGCTACAGCTTGCCTGTATGAAGGTCTGTAAATTAAACTGATTTTCTTTGCACCCTGATTTTCAAGATATTAGCAGGGCATCTAATGTTATGGGATAGTGAGATCATGTTCATTTTCAAGATCTATCAAACCATAATGCCAATTTAAGGCTGTTTAGCTTGGAAACATCATATAGTTTTCTATTTGAAATCTTCTGTTGAAAAATTCCTTAACTTTACGCATAATACCCCTTTCTGTAGCATAATGTCGCCCCTCCCTGGAAATTCTGCATAATTTCCCAATATTTTTGGTACCCTGTTAGAAGGTCTGTATTCAACAATTTAGTTGTGATAAATTTGGAACTAAATGAAACTATTATCCGTTTACAGTGCACCATAATCAACATTGACTTGTTGCAAATTCAGGGACTAATCTATCTTATTACCCCATTATTAAGTTAATTCCCACGTTTGATTTACAGTTAACAAACAGCTGGCTGACAAAGAAAGGGTTGCTGCAGCTTTGGAAAACACTCACTTATTGGAGGTTGTGAACCAGTGTCTTGCAGTGCGACAGTGATATCTGTGATTTTATGGAAGCCAGTCAGTCAAAATAATGCCGCCCAATCATAATTTTCTTCCTGTAATTATGGGTAGCGGATAAGGATATGATTATCCTCAAAGTCAAGGTTTTAGGATTCATATCAATGTCACATTTTAAATACCTGGTGATTATGGAGGGATCTTTCTAAATTTCCCCATAACTTTGGTCAATAATTTTCATGGGTATAGTGACAACGGCTGACCAAGGTGAATTCTGATGTCAACACAGATGAAGTGCTGAATGATGTTTCCATTTTGAAACATCATTAAGAAACTGTGTTCTTTACTTCCATTTTGGCAGTGGATTTGCCAGTCATGACAAGGACACAACGTTATATACCATTGCATAAACAGTGGAACCTGGTTGATACCGACTTTAGGCCACAAAAGGCTTTGAATAGAAAAGCAAACACACCAGCCATAAATATATACAGTCGACTCTCTCTAAACGGACACCTCTATAAGATGGACACCTCTGTAAAACGGACACCTAGAGTTGGTCCCTACCTTTTTTCCTCCCTCTATTTGACTCTCTATAAGACGGACATCTCTCTAAGATGGACAGCTAGTGCCGGTCCCAAAGGTGTCCGTCTTAGAGAGAGTTGACTGTATCACTCCTTATCAGACAGCTTTGTGATCGTACATGAGAACCAATATGGAAACCATACAAAAAAAATGAAGACACTTGTAAATAAATTTATTTCTTTTCTACAAGTACTTTGTCATGAATACGTGTGGATAGGTAAAACATTTTTTTGTGCAACAAAATGATTTACAAACATGTATGTGTATAGTAATGTCATCTGATAACTACATGTACTTGGTTTAACAGTCTTTTGTCTCCATCTTTGGATTAGTTTTGGTAATGAAAGAAAATACTGCATGAGTAACCTCTGATCTGTCTTTTCTAGGAATATAAGATAAAATTTCTTATGAACTTTACTTCTCAGTTTGGTTTGTCTCCCAGCCTAATAATAATCATGATATTGTTATTCATGATCATGAACAATAAATAATTTATTATGGTTAGGAGACATGTGAAATAAAAAATCAACCTCGAAGTTTAAACCTACTTTTGATTTTGATCTACAACATATAGTAAAAACCCGCGAGTAAGAACCTACATTTTCCAGGGTTAGCCTGAACAGGTTCTTACATAAACAGTGGTTAACATAAATTTAGGCTATCTAGGTTCTTAATAGCTTCTTAATTTCTTGCAAAAAATTATGTCGTAGCTAAGAAGATTTTAGTGATCAGCACCCCTAAATTTGCATACCTAATGATTGCTTATATTTTAATATGACCATAATAGAGATCTATTCTCACATGAATTTTAATTTCTTGAGTCAAAACAACTTTATATACATGATTGTGCTGTAAAACACAATATTATAAACATTTTCTCAATGACCTCAATCAAACAACATTTATATATGTACAAACTTGCCTTTTGCAATTGCAATTAGCTCTTTCTATAAAACAGAAACAAATGATTTTTGAAAATAAGAACCTTTCTCCAAATTTTAGGCTAAAGAGGTTCTTATATAGAGGGGTCTAAATTGCAAATTTCAGCCTAACAGGTTCTTAAATCTTAGGTTCTTACTCGTGGGTTTTTACTGTAGTTAAACTAAATGTATGTCAGAATGTTTTCAAACCAGATTATTTCAGTACAATAATATTTAAATTAGGCATATACAGTACTAAAGCTGCTGGTGGTTTGAAGTTATTTTGACAAAAATTCATTTTAACTTTTAACATAAACTTCACGCCAACAATGAAGTAATTTCTGTTCATATCTTGTGCCTTTCTTATGTATTCACACAGAACTATCTCACTCTCACATGTCAAACAAGCAAACACACTCTACAAAACTCTTCACAATACTTTTTTGCATTGATCACAGTTGAATGTTTCCTTATAAACCTCTCTGTAATACAGACTTCGCTCTCTAATGGACAGTGCTCTTGTTCTCAAAGATAACAAGTTAATTCATATAATTCATTCCTCTATATTAAATTATTATACAGTCTCAGTCCATAAAAATGCCAAAAAATGTACTTAGCCAATATCCACCCTCCTTGACCTCTAGCTTGGTCAAGAGTGTACATACAATGTCAGATTCAGTCAAAAAAGTTACCGGCTGAATCTGTCCTTTTGAAGTCTGTGTTAACAACATTTGACTATAATCAATATAATTTCTTTATTGCCCTCAATATATAACATTGTACCGAAGAATTCAGTGCTCAATGAAAGTGCTTTTTTGTACAATGCTGTAGCTGGAAACCAGGTAGAGTACAAAGGGTGTTTCCTTGTCTTCCTTTCTACATCTGCCATTATTCCTTGTAGAAATCACCCTACTCAAAATGCTAAAAATTGCACTTCCTGACCTGTAGAGTTTGGAATGTTGGCCAGAGAATCTCTTCCACTTATACATTCCTGTTAACTCCATGCAGACTATAGAATAACGCAACATCATGCTATTGGAAGGCGAAGTACTGTTCCAGTTCTTAGACTTGTAGAAGCAGATATCTTTCTTTCTGGCATTCCATCTGATGCCATACCTCCGGGTGACTCGTTAGTGCTTGCTATGGTGAATGCCTGCTCTGCATCTAGGGCAAAGTGTGCTGTTACCATTTTCTTTTCCACAGAAAGCAACTGGTCAGTCTTCTTCCTAAGAATGCCAAATTAGAAAAAGGATTTTTACTGACGAAGAAAATTGAGAAACAGAGTTGTTGACAACTCATGCTTTCATATGACAAAACAAGATTCTAATAGGGGTGCTATGTGAAAAATTTCATAAGACAAGCATGAATGAACCAGCTGCCTATTCTTGGTCAGTGGTACTCTATGAAATGTATAGCGGGGTTTTTCCCTAATCTGTCCACATTCTTGGGATACTCATGTTGTACCGACTAATATACATGGTGTTGAGTGTAAGGTCCGTCTGATGTCACAGTAATCACGTCAATGCACATGCAAGAATCATTCTTCGATTTGCAAGCACACACAGTTCTGTACCAAGTATGGGACTTTTCAATTCACCTTGCCAGCCGGGAATCCATTTACCCAGGAAAATGAAAGTAGAGCCTGATCTCAGCTTAGTGCAGGATGAGTTATTGGTAAGATACGAGTGTTAGCAAAGTATATGTAACTTAAGCAAAATCCATGTAACTTAAGTTTATTCAGGTTTCACTCAAGCGCATCGTTTTTGCATTTTTATAGGCTTACATTTCCAAGTATGTGACGTCACTTGTCATCTGAAAGCTTCAATAAGCTTCAAACTCCAGTGGTAAACTAAGCTTTTTTCACTATTTTGTTTTGCATATCAACGGCCTGTAGTCATTCAACACAGATTGATTGTATACCGGATTGACTATTTAAATAAGACTTTGTGCAGGTCGTGACTGTATACATTGTGTCATACATTACTGTTTTAATTGCATCTTTGAATGTGAATATAGCTTTCTCTCCACACTCCTCGTCATTCGCAGGCTAATTGTATCTAAGATTCTCTGAATGAAATCGTTGAATTAAATATGATTATTGTTTACTGTGTTGTTCAATTCAGTTTCTACGGGACTGTTCGTCAGCATTTTCTTTTGTTGACACTGGAACTAAATTCACATGCGATTATGAAAGCAGTTCTAATCAATCACATCTCTAACGTTAACCCACATGTTCACCCGCACTCCCTAACCATATGGTAACTGCTAGTAATAGAATCTTCCCAGAAACCTAGGGAAACTACATTTTTTACCCCAAATATCCATTGCATCCCACATTTCAGAAACCCTCAAAATGTATGTGCACTTCCCCATGATAATCATATTTGAGCACCTCCTGGGCCACACCCAGTACAAGATAAGAAAACTCACGTGATGGGCGGAAGACCAATCATCTTGCAGTGTTGCCATCTCTCCACAAACTGAGGTGACAGCTTGACCTTTCCCGCATGAAACTGAATAACTTCATAGAGAAAGGGATCATGACGGCACACCCCTAGGAGCTGCCTCTCACCTATACTGTCATAGCTGAGGTAACCAAGGGCAACAGAGGCTGCCGCCTGAACCGTTTCATACTGGGACATCAAGAGTTTCCCTAATAAGGGAATTGTTCCGATGGAGATGATCGCACCTGGGATGCCAGCTCTTGTATGGGCAAGGCCACCAATGAAGTTTGCTGCCGCTGTTTGAATGTCTTCATTGTTTGAGTTGAGATGTGAGACTAACAGCTTTATTCCTGTGGCAGATGTTAGTGACTGATCTTCATCTGGAATGATGCGTGATAAAACCACTACTTGAAAAGCGGCATATGTTGACTGTTCCTCATTCTTGGACTCCAAAAATGGGAGAAAAGCATTGTATCTTACACCACCAGACATGGCAATATTTCTTTGATTTGTAACATTGTTATAAGCAAACACAGCAAGTGCAGCTCCTGCCAAAAGATGGACCTCTTCGTCTTCATCATAAAGTTGTCTTAACATGTGTAAAAAGCTGAAATCTTTGTGATCTAAGACAGCTTTCATGTTAGCATTATTACTCAAACACACACAGCCCAGTGTGTACGCAGCCTCAACTTTGATGATGTCCTGACGGGCTTGAACCATGTACCTGATCAAGAATTTAAGGCCACCTTCTTTGGTCACTGCCTCCTGATTGTGGACATGCGGTCTGAACCCTAGACAGAGACAGAGTGCACGTAATGTCTGCAGCACACTGCGAACAATATTACCTGGCGTGTTAACTTTTCCCAAAAGACGAACTAAAGGCATAACACCATTTGCCTTGGCAATTTCATCTCTCTTGTTTCTCACACCCAGAGCAAGCACACCCAATGCCTCAGAACCGATGAAGTGTAAGCTTTCAGGTAAATTCTCAGAGAGAAACTCAATGAGCAAATTGATGCCTATTTCAGCAGCAATTGACCGTCTTTGGGCATTTTTTGCTCCAGCAATAGCCCAAAGGGCTCCTGCAGTCTTTG